GTCCCCGGCCCTGGTTGGTCGTGCGGTGGCAGCCACTCGATGTGTCCCTTTCACATCGATGTTTCTCTCTCTCTGTCTCTTCCTCTCTCTCCCTCCCACTCTATCTGTACAAAAAATGGAAAAATGTCCTCGGGTGAGGATAAAAAAAAAAAAAAAAAAGAAGTATTGCTATAATAAGCACCCTTGAACTTAGACCCTTATTACTTATTTAAAAAAATTTTTTTTCTTTATTGATGTTTAGAGAGAGAGGAAGAGAGAGGGAGAGAGCGATAGAAACATCGATGAGAGAGAACATTGATTGTCCGCCTCCTGCATGTCCCCCCTGGGATCAGTCCCACAACCTGGGCATGTGCCTGGACAGGGAATCAAACCAGCAACCTCTTGCCACTGAGCCACACCGGCCGGGCTAGAACCTTATTATTGATGTTTTCATTTCTAGTGAAGATATTTTTCAAAACTATAATTGTTAGGCCAAATGGAAGTTTAATACATTAAAATGAAGTATATTTTAATATATATTACCAGGTTACTTTCCAAAGTTTGTAGTAATTGACAAATTCCTACATCTAATTCATTTATAAAAATGCTGGCTTTCTAGCATCCTCTCCCATTCACAACAGTGAACATTTTGCCAATTTTATGGTTCCAAGTTGTACATCACTGTTACTATAATATGGCATATTCCTGACTCCTGAGGTTAAGTCTTTTAGGTTTCCTCTTACGTGAATTTCCTGTTTGTATTATTTTCCCAATATAGTCTGCCTTTTAAAATTTGTAGGAGCATGTAGTATAGCAGAAATATAAAGTTTTTTTTTAAACTACATTTCATATTTTTTTTCTAGGCTACCACTTGCTTTTTAATTTTGTTATTGTATATTTTGCCATGTTAAAAAACATCTCTTTTCCTTCATAGCTTCTGGGTATCCTGTAATTAGGAAGGTCCCCCACATAACAGGTTCCCATAATATATTTGTCTAAAGTTTCTAAATTTCCAATTGTATTTTAAAACATTGAAATATTTAATTAATCTAAAAAAATTTTTTTTATGTGAGATGTGAGTTAAAGGATCTTTTACTTCTGGAGGACAGCCAACGCCATCTCTAAAGTGAATTATTTGTGTTTACTGAAATTGAATGCTACATCTTGTATTTTAAGTTCTTAAACATGTCAGATCTATTTATTTATTTTTATTTATTTATTTTTTTTATCCTCACCTGAGGACATTTTTCCATTTTTTTGCTCAGATAAAGTGGAAGGGAAAGAGAGGAAGAGAGAGAGAAATATCAATGTGAAAGGGACACATCGAGTAGCTGTCACCCACACAACCCAACCAGGGCCAGGGACAAACTGCAACCGAGGTACAAGACCTTAGCGAGAACCAAACCCGGGTCTCTCCGAACCGCAGGCCGACACTCTAACCACTGAGCCAAACTGGCCAGGGCCCAGATCTATTTAAAATGTTTCTGTTTGGCTCCACTGCTTTGTTTTTCTATGTTCTTGCCAATCCTACACTGTAGTGAAGCTTATGGTGAGTCTCACTTTCTTGGGGTTATTGTTGTTTATAAAAAAAAATGAATTAATCAAGTGAAAAATAAATTATTTAAATTTAAAAAGCTTATTATTCAGATGAAAAAAAAAAACACAAAAAAACACAAAACCCAACAACAAATAAAGACAGGCAATAAACTAGTTCCACCTAATTGCAACTTTGGAAACCTCCTTTACTTCCCTCAACTTCAGTTTGCTCATCTGCAGGATGGACATTTATTATTGCCACATAAGTCATAGGTGTTTTTGGAAGAAGTTAAACAAAATTAGACATATTGCCCAGCAGGTGTGGCTCAGTGGTGGAGCATTGGCCCATGCACCAGTAGGTCGCCGGTTTGATTCCTGGTCAGGGCACATGCCCAGTTTGTGGGCCCTATTCCCAGTGGAGGGCATGCAGGAGGCAGCCAGTTGATGTTCTCTCTCACCAATGTTTCTATTTCTCTCTCCCTCTCCCTCTCCCTTCCTCTCTCTCTCTCAAATCAATAAAGAGAAAAAAAATTTTTTTTAAATTAGACATACAGAATAGTTTATGAATTCTAAAGGGTGTTAAGAATGTCATTTGTTATTATTTACATAAGTTAATATGCAGGGACCTATTTCTTTATGGAGTGGGTCTGAATATGTAAGCATGATGACATCTTATAATGTGTCAGGAGCCTGTTCTTGTTTTTCCCACTCAGAACAGGAATGGTCGACAAGCATGAAAATCACACGTGTTTTCAAAGGCTTGTCCAACTAATTGGGAGGAATTGTAGAAAACAAATGGTAATGATGAACAATGCAGCGTGGCAAAGCTGCCTCCCCAAATCCCCAGGTTAAATAGACTTAAGCATCCCACATTGTGGCCTGGCCTGTGGAGGATCCTAAGAGGATCATTCCCCCATTGCAGGCTGGGTAAAAGGTGAAAGGTTAACAGGCCAATCCCAAGACAAGGTGTTGGCCCAAATTAGGTGTTTAGAACATTTGCTGAAGGTCTTAGTCTGCTGAGTTTTTATTTCCAACAGCAAAAGTATTTAGGGAACAAAAAAAGACTTTTGTGTGGAAGAATTCAAGAAATTTAGTTGGGTCCTCTCTTCTTTAAAGGAACCAAAAAGGTCAAAAATTTTCTTTCTAGTTTAAGGAGATAAAAAACACTAAATCTCATTTTGTTTTCTGAAAACCAACATTATATGGGTATGATTTCCTGTTCAATAACTTTCATTTGAAATTACTCTTTCACGGAGCCCACGCAGAACCACCAAGAAGTCAGACATAAGGTTGCCTGGTACTCTGGCATCTAAATACTTCATATATATATTTTTATATTTTAGGCAATAAATTCTCCAATGAAATCTAGGCTTGAGGCATGGGCAGGTAGAAGCAGACAATTTTTAGAGTTTGATGAAAGAAGTATAACTGGACACCTGTCTCCTAATCCCACATATTTCAAGGTCAGAAAAAATGTCTTCAGTTATCCTGCAAAATACTTAAGCATTGGCTTTGGCTATGTTGTTATCCAAAGATGTTATAGCAAGATCATACAACTTGAAAATAGCATTTTTGAAGAAGAGAAAAACATTTCCTTAGACATTTGTATCACATACTCTGAAAAGGCCCCTGGTCAATTTGATCCAGCACCAGGATGCTCATATCACCTTTCTGAATTCGGAAGATGTTGGGGTAGATAGCATGCAAAGGATCACATTAGCAAATCCATATGAAACTGGCACCAATCAAATGTGTTTACCTTAATTTTACAAGTACAGGCCAGAACATATTTTATTTTAACTCTTCACCCGAGGATATTTGGATATTTTTCCATTTATCTTCAGATACAAGGGGAGGGGGAGAAAGATCAACGTGAGAGACACACATTGATTGGTTGCCTCCTGCACAACCCCAACCAGGGCTGGGGACTGAACCACAACCGAGGTGTGTACCCTTGACTGGAATCGAACCTGCGACTCTTTGATCCGAGGGCTGATGCTCTTTAACCACTGAGCCAAACTGGCCAGGGCAGGTCAGAACATTTTAAAATGCAAGTAGCATTTTAAAAACCAAGTTATTGCACATGAAACTAACTTCAAACCCTATAAACTATAAAATTCAGAAAATTGTGTGGATAGAGATAAAAGGTAATTTGAGGGGGTGGTAGTAAAGGTGGTGGCGATTATTCAATCTACAAAAGGAATTGCCAATAGAATTCTTCTGTATAGCAAGAGGCCTTAATACATTGAAATAATATGGCATTCAGAAAACAAAAACGTGAGTCACACACCTTCTGCATAAGACAAAATAAAATGCCACAAAAGCAAGGATGAGCCTGAAACACCAATCCTTAACAACATGAAATTCTTCTCATCTGAGACCCAAACAAGTATAGTTTGTCTGTTGTTCGCTCTGTCAAGTAAAAAGGGCATTTCATGAAAAAGCAGCTAGTTCAGCTCAGTGATTGTGGCTCGAACAATCACACTCTGCTTTACCTTGAGGTAATCATCATATTTTGGTAGGAAGAGTGCTTTATGTATGCTTTCCAGGATATCACACAGACTATTAGAAAGATATGTGTTCGCCCTGGCTGATGTTGCTCAGCAGTTAGAGCATAGGTCAGCGCACCAAAGGTTCGATTCCCGATCAAGGGCATGTACCTGGGTTGCAGGTTTGATCTCCAGCCCTGGTCGGGTGCTTGTGAGAGGCAACCAATCAATGTGTCTGTCTCACATTGATGTTTCTCTCTCCCTCGCCCTCCCTTCCACTCTCCCTAAAAATCAATGGAAAAAATATCTTCAGGTGAGGATTAACAAAAACAAACAAAAAGACATGTATTCAAGGGTCAAGAGTCAATAAGATTAATAATTTTTACTGCTTCATCAAGGACATTCTTGAGCCTGAGATGTTTTCATTTCCTGCATATGCGCTGAGATGCAAACACAAAGATGTGCCAGTGTGCTGCCCTTTGGTTTGTGCTAAGCCTCCAGACTGACCAGCATTGCTTTTCACCATCAGAGCAAATGTCAACCTGGTAGAAAAAAGTCAAGTACCATATTAGTATAAAGGGAAAAGAGTTTTGACCTCACAGACCCCCTTTGAGACCACCACACTCGACTGTAAGTCACATGAGGACAAGTCCTGTCTGTGGTGTGCTGGGGCCAGCTAATACTGGCTTGCAGAAGCTAATTGTTAACTTTTGAGGAATTTTTGCATGGCAGCTGTTACGTTGGCTGTTTGATATCAGCTATGGTAGGAATGTTTACTTCATGGAAATCAGCACACATTACAAATCAGGGTCTTTTTTTTTTTTTTTTCCCTCTGGAGAACTGCTTGTTAAACACCTACCAACACACGACAGTCTGTGTCCCTTCTTTGTGAATCAGCATCCCCCACTGTGCCTGCCACGTTTAGGTAGTCAATGAAAATTTGTTATATAAACAACAGTAAAGAAATTAAGTCCACTAAGGCTCAATTACCTCTGGGTTAACTGATGATTCAGCTCCATAATTTCTTTTCTGAAACCCCTGGCCCAGGCTGTTTCAGGATCCAGACTGAAAAAAAATATCTGAGAATGATAACATCGAACATATAACACACGTTACCTAAAACTCCCGGCAATGTCTGCAACGGCACCTCCATGAGAAATAAAGGTTATTAGAAGTCTCACATCAGTTCATGCCAGGTGTGTCTGCCAGATAAGTTAAGGAAAACAAAAAAACAACCCCCAAACCGTTGGTTTTCTGAGCTTGGGGGATTTCAGAATTGCAGAAAGAGAGTGTGGGCCTCTGTTGGGCTTTGAGCTGGCAGAGCTGGGAATCCGCCTGCCTGGTAGTGACCTCTCCGCGGAAACTGCCCAGGTGAAGCCAGTCGACCTTGAGCCCTCTTAGCTGCATGTCCCACAGAAAGGTGGGACAGGGTTCACCCTGTGTCGGTGAGAAACCAGATCATTGCTTTGGGCCACATAAAAACAAACAAAAAATGATGGGCTAGGTGCAACTCCCAGAGAGTGTTGGCCTGATGGAGTGCAGAAAGGCAGAGGTAAGTGGAGAATTAACGTTGCATAAATTCCCTCCCACTGCTTCCCTGCATTTTCTCAAGACCTTCCTCCTGCGGGGAAAGCAAGCAGGCCCCTCACGTGGTGCCGGGTATGCCTAAGCACTGGACGGCCGGATTTATTAACTTCATATCTGCAGCGAGGACCTCATGTCAGACCCACCACAGGCCTAACGATGGCTCCTGCTGGGTCCCAGCGTGAGGACAAGCGGTGGGGCTAAGTGCGATGGCGGCATGAATAGGCCTGCATTAGGCCGGGCCTAATAACGCGTTTACCAACACCTGTATTAGTCCTCTATCACTAGGGGTGAACTGCTGTCCGACAAGCCCTAATCCCATAAGCTTTTCATTTGCATATCCCTCATTAGCTGATTAAAACTTGAAGAAGGCAGATTTCTGCAGCTGCTGGGCCCATTCCTTCACACCGCCTGCCTGGGTGGTTTTGGTAATGAAGTCATGTGGGTGGATGTGAGGTTTATATGTATGGAAGGGATTAGGAGTCTTAGAATTTGTGTGAGCCGATGTTGCCATATTCTCTCCACTGGAGCCCAGTAATTGGATGGGAGGAGAAATGGCAGACCCATTAGTTTGTCTGTTTACTCAGGAGCAGGGTGCTAGAGATTCAATTTTGCTTTCTTTGGCTCCCTTGCCTTTGTGAAGCGGGCCTGCTTTGTCTCCTCTGGCCCTGAGCACCTCCAAACACCAGCCCTGCTAAGGCGATTCAGCCACAAAGGGGAGACGGTGGTGACTAGAGGCCCGGGGAGAAGAAAATGCGTCCCCGACTCAAGTACTACTTGAAGGCAGCCCCGGCCCGCTTAGCCCAAGCCTGGGATAGAGAGCAAGAGATAATTGAAATTTATCAACACTTCTGGGTCTTTTTTTAATTATTATTATTTTATTAGTTCTCCACATTTGGGATTAACAATCCTCAGCATCAAACGCACCGCAGGCTCCTTTTTGGGGAAATGAATGGTTAGACATTTCAGAGGCTTCACAAAGCAATTGTATTTGCCCGGTTTGCATAATTTTAATAGGCGAAAAATAACAGGAAGAAAAAATCCATTTCCTGTGCTGTTTGTACAGCTGGAGACAGGGCTCCTTGTGTCTGATGATGTAAGAGATGCTCCATTGTCTCGCCCCTTACCCCGACAATGAGGTCCCACTAATGTTGTTCACAAAACCGGACCAAGCCGTTCTGAAAACTTTGAAGCTGGACATTGTCTCCAAAGTGTATGGGGCGCCGCACGCAGAACCATGTTTATTCATCGGCAGCGCTGGGGTTTGCAAAGTCCGGAGACGGCGCCTCTCACCAGCTAAGAGTGAAGAAGGGAAATGTGGACTGATCAACAAGCCAGAGCTTGAAGCCGGAGACTCTAGGGGGGAAAATGTCAATTTGGGAGTTTTAGTTTTCTTCCTTAAAAATAATGGAGAAGTGTAGGAGAATATTTCAACTCAGATTCTGTGAAGGTTTTTCTTATAGTTTCTTTCTTTCTTTTTTTTTTTTTTAATTAAAAGCCATGGCTCCACCCTGGTGGCTCAGTTGGTTAGAGCATCGTCCCATATACCAAAGATTGTAGGTTCAATTCCCAGTCAGGGCACATACCTAGTTGCGGGTTTGATCCCAGGTCGGGTCACATATGGAAGGCAACCTATCAATGTTTCTCTCTCACATCAGTGTTTCTATCTCTCTCTTTCCCTTCCTCTCTCTCTAAAAAAAAATCCATTTAAAAAATCCTCAGGTGAGGATTGAAAAAAACAACAACAACAAGAAACCTGCCACAGCCCCCACCCCACCCCCAAATTCCGATGTGAACTTACTGTGCAAGTCTTTTTATCACTTGCTGAAATCATCCATTTCAATTGGGTTAATGTTTTCAATGTCTTTAATGAAGGAACAAATTAAAACATCCATCAAATACAAGTCTGAATGTCTGAGTTAGGCCATTTGCAGGGTTTTTAGTAGATTAAGGGATTCAAATGAGACCCTGATAGGCAATAGCAGAGAAACACAATACTAGTCATTACCAAAGGTTTCCCACAGTAAAATCTAATCTCTGAAAACAAAAAACAAGCCAGCCAGCAAACCAAATAAATAAATGAAACACCACACAAGAACCATCCCATGAGCACGTTTATGTCAGTAAAACAAAACTTTTCTATTTCTATCTCTCTCTGCCTTTATTATTTTAATCATTGTTTCCACGCCTGGTAACAATGTCAGCCAAAGTGATTGAATCCCCTTTGCTTGATGCTAATTCAGCAAATGTTGAACCCCCTGCTCTCTGCTGTGTTTAAGTTAGGGTTTGAAAGAAACTAACCCAACAAAGTACATCAGATTTTAACCATAACCCAGCATGGACAGTAGGGATTAAAGGGAATCTGGTTAGAAAGATAGCAAGGAAGAGAAAAATAGGAGAAAGTTTTATCCTGGTTCAGATAATGATCCTGAAGCCAGAGAGTCACTGAATCTGAAGAGTAGCTTGATTCTGAAAGAGCCTCAAATCCAATGATGCAACCAACACTCTAAGTCCTCTCTTAGCAAAAATTTGATACGCCTTCCTAACTTGTTCCCAGCCTTTATGACTTATCATGTTCTGAAATTTTTGTAATCCTGATCTACAAGTTGATCTTCTAGCCACTTTGCATCCCTCTCAAGTTTATCTTTGCATAATATATTCTTCACGGGGAAGGAACTTAACATTTCTGAGCACCTACTTAACATGTAGCAGGTGCCAAACAGGCAGTATCCTACTAAGTGGGAATAATTATTCTCATTTACATAAGGAAACTGAGGCTCAGGGAGATTGAGCAGCCCTCCCAAGGCCACTCGGCCTCTAAGCCAATGAGCCACCCTGGTCTGATCTCTTGCTCCATAACAAACCACTCCAAACTATGTGGTTTAAAACAACAACCATTTTCTTATTGTTCACGATCCTGTGGTTTGGTTGGAGTGTTGCTGGACTGGGCTGGTGTGGCTGGAGCTAGATGGTGTAGGATGGCTTCACACAGGTCTGGCCCCAGCTGGGATGGCTGGGACAGCTGCCCCTCCCTCTACATCATCCTTAAGGAGGCTGGTACAGGCTGTGCGTATGATGGTAGCCTTTCAAAGAGGAGGAGCAGAAGCTGCAAGGCCTACTGAGGTCTAGGTTCTGAACTCAGAGTGACTTCTCCTCATTCTATTGACTAGAGCAGTTTACAAGGCCAGCCAAGGCTCCAAGGGTGGAAAACAGATTCTGCCTCTTGATGGGAGGAGCTGTAGAGAATCTTTGGCCATTTGCAGTTGAACACATGGCCTGTTGTCTATGCTTTCAACTCTGGAGTCAGTCTATGCTCAAATCTTGGTTTTACTAGGTGTCAGCTCTGATGCCCTAGGAAAGTTAATTAACCTCTTCCTGCCTGTTTCTCCATCTGCTAAATAAAGATAATAATAAGACCCTTCTCAAAGGGTGGTTTTGAGGATTAAGGGTGGTTATGGCATGTAGAACACTGCGTGGTATAGAGTCTGCACAATGCTATAAGTGTTAGTGACTATTGTTGTTATTATTCTATTGTTGTTAATGGATATGGTGTACTCACTACTGTACCTTGATATTTATTAACGTTTAGTGTGTGCTATGATCTGGAGACATAAAATTTAAAAAGTTGGGTGGGAAAGATTTAATATTTATTTACCACTTTCACATGGATTATTTTCTTTAAGTCTTACAAGAATCCAGTAGCACAGGTATTATTCTCCCTGGTTACAGGTAAAGTGAGGTAAATAAGATGGTCTCTTTTTTGAAAATGTTCATACACTAGTGTGGAAAACATTTCCCAAAAAGATGACATCCGTTCGGTCATTTTACAACACACTCATGCACATTATTAACTCACTGGAACTAAACTGCATTTTTGTTATCCCTATTAAGCAGCTGAAGACACTGATGTGCAGAGAAATTAAGCAGCAGAGAGATCCAAAGCTAGTACGGAGAAGAGCCTAGATTAGCACTGGTGTCATCAGCCACTTTGCTGTAGGCTTCTCCACGATGCCCCGAGGTCTCACTTATTTCAATGAGCAAGCATCCTATGAAGAGGAAAAACGTCCAAAAATTGCTGAGAAAAACTTGCCTACATGAAGGCAGGACAGTCAGAAGCATAAGATGACTGCCCCCGGTGCATTCCACAGCCTGTCGTAACGCTCCCAGTTGTTTGCTGAAATCATATTTGGATGTGGTATGCCTGTTAAGCAGATATGGCAACGCTAATGTACCATGGCCTTCTTGGGACTGGAGCTGTAGAGCTCAGCTCATAGCAGGCAACAGTTCCACAGCCGGCCTGGTTTGTAATCAGCTCACAGATGCAAAACATTAATCAAAGACTAGGATGGCCAAAGCTAGAACAGCTTTAGAAAACCGGGATCCCCCCCTATGTTGAGGATTGCCACAGCTCCCTGTCAGGCTAGATTGGCACATGTGGCTCCCTTTGCTCAGTGGAGAGGACCAAGGTGAACCATCAGAAA